ACGAGCTATGTTTGGCAACAACACAAACGATAGTAAAAGTAGCAAGCACAATCATGCGAAAGGGAATGATCACAAAGTTAAGAAAGAATATTTATAAATGAAGATGATGACAAGCTAGACAATTAGCTGCGCAGCGATAATACCCTAAATAAGGTAGGCTAGAGAATGACGACTTTCTTTAAAAGAAAATATAGAAGAAATAAGAGTATTTCTTGGAAAATGTAGGAGAATTAGTGGTATCTCTTTTAAAACTTGAACTATCAATAGCTGAATAAGAATCTATGTAAATTGGTAAAGTCAGTAGTTGAAAAAGAAATTAAAGGTATAATAAATAATAAGTAATATTTATAGGGTATTTAGCAATAAAAAATAGAGTTAGAACGGCGAAAGGTAGAAAAATATCTTCAACAAGGTGGCTTCATCGTCATTTAAATGATCAGTGTATACGAAAAACAAATAAGGATGGCTATAGATCACGCTCAGCATATAAATTAGTAGAGATAGATAAAAAATTTAAATTACTACAAAGTGGACAAAAGGTTATTGACCTTGGTGCTTACCCTGGTGGATGGTCACAGGTTGCGTCTCACAAGACCAAAGATGTAATTGCCATTGATCTCAAACTAATGGAAGCGATAAACGGTGTAGAGTTGATAACATGTGATATCATCAATGAATTTGAAGCTTTAAAGGAAAAATTAAGGGATCAAAAATTTGATGTGATTTTATCTGATATGGCCCCTGGATCTTGCGGATTGCAATCGTTAGATCATATAAGAATTATGCTCTTGTGCGAAGCAGCTTTAAACTTAGCAAAACATTCTTTAAATGATGGTGGTAAGTTCGTAGTAAAAATCTTCCAAGGAGGATCCGATAAAGACTTTTATAATAAATTAAAAAAAATGTTTAAAATAGTAAAATACTTTAAACCGCAATCAAGCAGATCTGAATCTGCAGAAATATACCTAGTAAGTTTAGACTTTAATCCAGAAAAAGTAGAAGAAGATATTTTATAAGAAAGAGGTCTAATTTTTAATATCGACATGACTTTCAGATTGTACCAAAATTAGTTATGGAAGATGGGTTGTGCGATGAAAAACTTTAATCTGGTTCGTAGCGATTATTCTTGCAAGTTTTGCATAAGAAAGCTGATTGAAATTATCTTCAACTCTTAAAGTAGTAGAAAAAGAATCAGCTAAAAATTGATCAATAAAATGTCTGAGATAGATATGGACCTCTACCCCTCCTCTTTCTTTGTTAACTAATCCAGAATTTGGGTTAGAAC